GACCGAACTTTTGTCTGATTCAAACGAAGTAAAAGCAAACGTTCTGTTTCAATTTTTGCATACATATCGACAATGTACTGATGAAACAACTGACGACATTTCAATATATGATTGTCATCGGTCCTCCGAACCATTAATCGGTATGAGTAAAAGTTCATCGCGCTGCACTTTTTATTCGTTTCTACACCATTGACTGGATCTACCATCCTCACATTGAAATGATATCCATCGGCACCATCCCAGAAGATGAGTGGATACTGTAAAGCATCTTAACAACGGTGAGTTTCTGCGACGTTTACCAATCGATCGTTTCGTCGATGGAGAACAATATCTCGAGGTTAGAACTGATCCCCGACTATGACAATTGCCACTTCGTCAATAGTTGGAGCATTATAACTCCTGATATGTTCTCCAGCAGGCGTTTTGTCTGCATGAATGACAATTTTATGGGTATCCGAAGGCATCATATCGATTGCTGTTTTGAACAAACGCACCAAATGGTTCCGTTCGTGAAAAAGCTTCGTGAAAAAGCTTCGTGAAAATAATGGGCTTCTTCAGCGAGGTATTGATTCCATGACGTGAATCGACTTCAGCTCCATCATCACCAATGAATTACATTTGAAGAAATTTGTGTTCGCTGTCTGAGAACGGAAGCAGGGAACCGGCTTTGTGATAGATTTGTCCTTTGATTTTAAAAGTTGAATGAATTGGCATGAATTGCGCAGCTATAATTTCCACACCAAATGAAGTCATTTAGAAGCAAGAGTTGTATTTCCTAATGTTCGACAGAAAATGCTTCGATTCAGCAGTAGATCCAGCTAATAGAGAGTGCAGAGGCTCTGGTGGTGCTTCAAGTTGAGGCAATTTCACTTTCCCGGAAGCGCAACACAATCCTTTTGGTTCATTGTTGAATTTGAGAGCCTGAAAGTGTGTGCAGACCTGATGCATCCGGCCAATAACGACATTGCGATTCGAGCTATAATTAACAGTTGGATTGTATCGGAATGCAAGACGGTTGTACGGTTTTGATCTGTAGCAAGCTGTAAACGCGCTTCTGCTACCCTTGCCCTGTCCCGTTCATTATTTTGAGACCGAATTAAATCGATTGCTGCAGAACGCGACTGCCTAGCTCTCAATCGTGTTCGCTCAAGCCTAGCTGCTCGCGTTTTTGCTGATTCCGCGTTGTGCATCCGCATTGCTCTCAGCCGCTCAGTCTCTGGGATGAAGGCCCGCTCTTCGTCAGTCATATTCGAAATGTTACGTATTTTTGCTTCTGTATTGCCAGTATGACGACCCAAATTCGACTTCTTGGGTGGCATGACTTCGTTTCTTTTTTTTTTTTTTTTTTTTTTATTATCAATCAATCAATAGTTATATTTAAAATCTGTCCGGAGATATGGACAATAATTAAATTTTATAATGGGACCTTAACTTAATGAAATATTGAGTAGTACAATGTTTGCTTATCCTAGGAAACTAATTTTAACAGTAAACCTTAGCGATAGAATTCAAGTTATTTCGCCCGAGTGGCAGAGGTCCAATGGGTGGGTCCGTTTCAGCCTCCTTGTGGACATTTGACATTTTCATTTGACATTTTCTTCTCAGCTGGCTGCCTGTAGGGGCACGGCGAAACGCGAAAAAACTGATATATTCGCAAACCCAGATAAGCTATTAACATCAAAAGTAGACAATAACCGAGCTGGAACCTCAACGCATGTTATGTCAAAATTTGGGCTTAAACGGTTCAGAACTTAAGCTGTGAACTTAAGAACTTAAGTCTATAAAGGAAGTAGATACGAACAGAGCATTTATATATATGTATATAGATACAGCTGACAACATCACCCCCAATAACAACAATAACATCGCTCATCCTAAATTATATGAATATTCAGCGAATCCAACATCAACAGCAGCAGAAACATCAACTTCATTAAAAACAATTAGAACTAGAACTAGAATTACTTAACTTAACTTAACTAAGATCTTAACTAAGATAAATTGAAGCAATATGAAAATTCAAAATATAAAACTAATAACAAATATAATCATGTACAAGAGCCTGGCTCTAATAATAATATACATACATTCAAATACAAATATGAAGCTCGATAAGCTCCAGTTCTGGAGCTAAGGTTTTCCTACTAGCTCCGTGCGCATGATCTCAGACATCTTGGACAAAGTGTCTTTTTGGATCATAAGATCTTTGCCATAGGGATGCGTTATTTCGATGGAATTTGATGTAGACAACTTGGAATTGAAAACGTCGAATGGACTGGATGGAATGGATTGTTGGACTGTCGTCTTTGTCAATTGTTTTCCATTAACAAACAAACCAGAGTCGATGTAGTTATTTCTAATTAACTTTACCAAATGAGGGGTATCCGAAAACACAAAAATTTTTAAATTTTCATTTGCTGGATGACTAAACCATGTCTTTGCTGAAAAAAATACAATTATTAATAATTGACAACTTGTATTATTTTTCTATTTTCAACTTAGTCTCTGAAATGCGTAGCTCACTCCATAGCCTTTGGTTTCCAGGTCCCAAATCAGACACAATTGCAACTACTGGGTAGCCTTTTTGGTGCAATTTGCTTATAATTTGATACACAGTATCTGTGTTCATCCGAGCGTTGAAATCGAAAAAGACTGGCTACTTCCACGACTTTTTTAAGCCACGGACTATGACTTGTTGCACATAGACAGTATCTGAAGAGCTATTATACTATCATGATATCTATCATAAAATGGAGATTTCACAATTTTTAAAACGATCGTGTGTGTAAAATGCCCAATATATATGTATAAGCAAAAACCGCGTCATGATTGGTTGCAAGACCCCGAGTTTAAGGATTGGTTAGCGCTGCATGCAGCCGATAATCAAAACCGCTTTTTCAAATATGCAAATCCAGCAATTATGCTAAACTGAGTGATTTGCACGCACCGATTGACCATTTGGGATTGTTGTGCCGGACCAATTTTCAAGATGGCGGTGCTATAAAGCTACAAAAAACAAAATGCACAAGTTATAATAAATGTGTTTTGGCTCCAAGCTTTATATAGTTATTGAAAGAGGACATCGGTAATGCCAAGTACAGGTTGTTGCTTGATGAGAGTACAGATGTACATAAGTGTCTGCAAGACACTTGGTAAGTTGCAATGCTAATCATCCTAGAACAATATTAAATATACTCTATACACATATGTAGGTGTTGCCATAAACTACTTCAGTTCAACAAAGAGCATCATGGTTTCCATATTTTTATACCCTTGCAGGGGGTATTATAATTTTGGTCAAAAGTGTGCAACGCAGTGAAGGAGACATCTCCGACCCTATAAAGTATATATATTCTTGATCAGGATCACCTCCTGAATTGATATGAGCTTGTCCGTTTGTCCGTCGGTCCGTCTGTCTGTCTGTTTCTACGCGAACTAGTCTCTCAGTTTTAAAGCTATCGACTTGAAACTTTGCACACACCCCCTTTCCTTTGCACGCAGTATATACGATGGCTCACAGCTTAAAGTATGCAGTGCATACTTTTAACTTCAAACGCCTATAGCGGTAAAACTATAAAGAATATTGGAATCAACAAGGTCCCAAGTAAAAGATTAACTTATTTAGAATAACATAACAAAATCATTTATTTTCCAAAACGGCTTAAACATTAGAAAAACTTAAGAAAACGAAAAATACAGCCTATATGCAGCTCACAGCTTATTTTATGAAGTTAGTCTTCTCAGTAACTACGCTGGAAATTCCATGGAATTTTACCGTTTTTTTTTTGGCGTTGCTAGCTTTGCCATTCTTTATTTTCGTGTGCTTGTCATTTACTCTTACTCTTGATCTCAACGATTCCGGATAGGCGATTTTTAAAATGAGTCCACGCACAACATTGGAACAACGGGAATTGGTTATATACCATTTCAAAAACAATATCTCCCAGCGTAAAATTACTGAAATAGTGAACAAAATGCCTCCAATAGTGCAAAAAATTATCGATCGCATTCGTTCACGAGAATCGTTTGGAAAATAAAGGACGCCAAGCACCAAACAAGATTTTCACTAATGCAGATGAGCGGTACATAGTTCGGAAAATCAAGGCTATACCCGAGACTATCAGCACCAAAATTTGCATCCGAAGTTAAGGCTGGTCTTTGCAAAAACTGTTGCGATGAAACAATTCGACGATTCCTACGTAATAATAACTATAATGGCCGCGTAGCTCGTAAAAAGCCAGTCATAAGCCCGAAGAATAGGTAAGCTCGCCTAAAATATGCAAAAGATCACCTTTCCAAGACCCCCGACTTCTGGAAAAGTGTGATATTTGCAGACGAATCTAAATTCAATATATTTGGATCAGATGGTAACGCATATATATAGCGGAAGCCCAATACAGAGCTTGAACCAAAGAACCTGAAGGCAACGGTGAAGCACTGCGGTGGCAGCGTGATGGTTTGGGCTTGTACCTATGTCAGCTGCTGGCCCTGGGAAACTGATGTAGCGGAGCGTAGAACCACAGGTTCAAGGGGTAGTAGCACCACCTAGCGGGCCGTTGCAAGTGACAGTTTATCGGCAATCTGCAAGACTGCATTTGCGTTTACGTTGAGCCTCCCACTAATCCCAGCTCTAGCCCCGGCAGGAGGCCATGGCTAAACGCACCATGCTTTCTTTCCTAAACCACATCTTGACCTGAAAGGTTGCTTACTAAAAGGTTGCTTAAAAGGAAAGGTACAAGGCTGTCCTAAAAGGAAGACAGAGGTTGGATCCGATTCATTTTTGCCTATTTTTTGCTACCCTGCAGTTCTGAGCACTAGTTCGTTGCTGGTGAAATAAGCTCTTACCAGCAGACCACCACTACTTACAAAGTGGCGTCTAGCCATGCGTTTTTTAATTTCCATTTTTGTATGAAATGTCCGCAAATAGGGTCAATCGCCACCGCTCCACTGCCATTATAAATTAAAAAACATGTACAATTGCAATTACAGTTTTTATTTAGTTAAAATTTTTTAAAATTTTTAGGCTGCTTGAGTTTTTTAAATCTCTTTTTTTGGAGCTGCAGGGCCTTTCTCAATTGTTCCTCAGCTGGGCCAATACCGCCGACTGCAGTTATTGAATCTAGAAATAAAAAGGATTAAACAAGTTTTAATAGATTAAAGTGTATAATGATTATTAAACAATTATCTTTTAAAATACTCACCGATTATAACGCCAAAAAAATTTTCTTCTTTTCTTAGGGCACCTTTCCCCTGATCGCCATCCACAATATACGCCCAGACCACTTCATTGGCTAAAATATATTTATACATATTTATACATAAAATATACACAAACATATTTTATATTGCAAACATATATTATTTTTTAAGTCACTCACCTAATAATCGATTGATCCGCTTTGCACTTCTTAACTCAAATGCTTGCAAAAATTTCGTCAGCCAGCAAACACAGCTGCGTTTAAGCGAAAGAGTAGCACAAAATAAAACAAACTGTTCTTTCTGGACAATTGTTTTTGTAAGCAGTGCACCGAAGACGCGTAAACAAACAGCGATGTAAAGCATAATCGAAGTTTTGTCTTTAATCTTGTGTATGCTCTTTCCACAAAATAACAAAAACAAAAGCGATGCTTGCCGTTACTTTGTACTTATGCGCTAATGCGCATATATTTATTAACTGGGTGGTTCGACGTTCGATTACTATAGGGTTAATCTAGTAAGTACCCATGTAGTTATCGACGAGGTAAGCACTTACCCAGGGCTAATCGCTAAATCAAATCGACTAGGTGGTTCGACCGTCGTTTACTATAGGGTCACTTTAGTAAGTACCCATGTAGTGATCGGCGAGGTAAGCACTTACCCATGGCCAATCGACACCTCCAGTTCTGCAGGGTAGTTATGCAGCTTTAAATTGTGAAACAGCGGACAGTAGAAGCGTTCTGGCCAGATTCTGGCACTATTAAATATTGTTTTCCTAGCCCCCTAAGGGGTAGGGAGCGACAGCTTGGAATTATCACCGTTTACCTCTGCCACGGAGACAAAAGCAGCGAGCAGGGCAAAATTGGTCCCCGCTCCCTAAAGCTTAGTTTATCTTCGGTGCGGTCTCCATACAGTTCGGCGGGTACATAAGTCCAAGTGCGGTGAGGAGGGGGGAACTCCCCTAAAACCACAGCAAAGTCTAAAAGAGTCTCTTTGGGAAATCTAATCTCTATTTTAAATAATTCGAAGTGTCCCAGAAATAATACATGCATTACGCGTAAAAATATAATATAAAACCCCGTTACACATAATGGTTAAATAATAGTGTAGGTTAAAATTTAAAATATAGGTAAAAACGATTTTTAATGAATAATAAGATTTGAGTGAATTTGTAAAATTTAAATAAGTGAAAGTTTAGAAAAATGTGAATATAAAAATTGAAATAAAAGTCTGCAAAAAGAAAAAAAAAATATGCATAAGAAGCTTTAAAATCACTTATCCGTAGGAAGATCACAGAAAAATATTTAAAGAAGGAATTGAAAAAACAAGTTAAAGTTTTCGTATATGCAAATTTCGGTCTCTTTGTGCTATGCGTTAATAAGCGTGTGTTTGCCGAGTTTTTTTTTTTGTTGTTAGTTTTTATTGCAATTGCCTCTTAGAATTTACAGCACCACCGCCAACGAATGGAAGCGCTTTCATCATTGGAAAAAATTAAAGTGAGCCATGTTCAACCGTTTTATTTACTCTTTGGCAAAATCCAAGTTTGATATTTTTTTTCTTGCCGAAATTTTATTACACGATCACATGAATTAAATTTAACGCTTAAATGAATATAATTAACTTTCCTCAAACATTTAATAGTATTAGAAGAACATTGAATTGAGATTTATCGAAATGAAAATAACAACAAAGTTACCTTTTAAATATTTATATCACATTTTTATACCCTTGCAGAGGGTATTATAATTTTGTCCAAAAGTGTGCAACGCAGTGAAGGAGACATCTCCGACCCTATAAAGTATATATATTCTTGATCAGGATCACCTCCTGAGTTGATATGAGCATGTCCGTCTGTCCGTCTGTCTGTCTGTTTCTACGCGAACTAGTCTCTCAGTTTTGAAGCTATCGTCTTGAAACTTTGCACACACCCTTCTTTCCTTTGCACGCAGTATATAAGTCGGAATGGCCCAAATCGGCCGACTATATCTTATAGCTGCCATATAACTGATTGATCGGAAATGGTATAACTTCGGTGTTTTTAGAGTTTAGAGTCAAATTTGACATGAGAGCTATTCTTGGCAAAATAATACGACATGCCAAATTTCATAAGGATCGGCCGACTATATCTTATAGCTGCCATATAACTGAACGATCGGAAATGACCCAACTTTCGTGTTTTAGAAGATAGAAAGCTGGAACTTGGTACAGATTATATTTTTGGTCAGTTGATCCGACCTACAAAATTTCATTAGGATCGGCCGACTATATCTTATAGCTGCCATATAACTGAACGATCGTAAATGACCCAACTTTCGTGTTTTCGATGATAGAAAGCTGGAACTTGGTACAGATTATATTTTTGGTCAGTTGATCCGATCTACCGAATTTCATAACGATCGGTTGACTATATCTTATAGCTGACATATAACTGAACGATCGGAAATGGTATTTGGTAGATATATCAACTTTCGTATTTTTGAAGATAAAAGCTTGGGACTTTTTTTAGATTTTTTATTGTAATTAATTGGTTTTATTATGATGTAATCATAAGGATCGGCCATCTATATCCGATGTTTGCGATATATATCTGGTTTTAGCTGCAAGGGTATATCAACTTCGGCTCCGCCCGAAGTTAGCTTTGCTTTCTTGTTTTTGTATATTTTATCCCACAAAATTTTATATAGTAATACGATTATTATTTAGAATATATTATGAGTATTAAAAATGAATATCCTATCTTTCCCTTATTTACATAAATAAACAAATATTATAATGTCTGAGTAGATACCCTGTTTTAGCTCCATGCTGACCCAAAAGCCGTCGTAAGTTCAAAATATTTAAAGGGGCCTAGTGCATCACCTTTTCGGAAGAGCATTGGCTATGGTAGGGAGGGCTAATAACACCCCCGTCTACACCTAGGGGCGTGGAATGTCAAGTGAGAAGTACTATTTCCTTTTCTTAACCGTCTGTCCGATTTTTATGCTATCTCTTTTCCGGACGATTTAGGCTTAGAAGTCACCAAAAAATTGGTTGAATCAATGCCGAAAAGACTGAAAGATGTCGTTGACAAAAACGGTTACCAAACCAAATATTAAAAACGTTATATTTTTGAGTATTTTTCTAATTTTATGAACATTTTTGAGACTGCATAAAATAAGCTGTGAGCTGAATATAGGCCGTATTTTTCATTTTTTAATTTTTTTTTAAGTTGTTTTTGGAAATAAATGATTTTGTTATGTTATTCTAAATAAGTTAATCTTTTATTTGGCATCTTGTTTATTCCAATATTTTTTTATAGTTTATGCACTGCATACTTTAAGCTGTGAGCCACTGTAAGTCGGAACGACCGCGATCGGCTGACTATATCCTATAGCTGCCATATAACTGATTGATCGTCTCAACGGGCTCGACTCAACGGGCTTTCTATAGAGAGTTTTAGCTCGCAGTGTCTAGGTCCGCCTAGTGTCTAGGTCCGACCAGTCGGCCGCCCTATCTGTATTTACTTGAGTCCCTGCATGCACCATAAGCTGGTCTATCTGCGGATCATCCGGCTTCATCTGCATGCAGGAATAAACATTTATAACGTTAAAAATTAATTAAATTATACGTTTTATTTACGGCATTAAAAACCATCAATGACCAAACAGATACTTTTGGCAAAATAATATGCCATTCCAAATTTCATAAGGATCGGCCGACTATATTCTATAGTTTCCATATAACTGATTGATCGGAAATGCTGTTTTTTTGAGTTAGATAGAATTTTAAAGTCGAATTTTGTATGAATGATACTTTTGGGAAAATAATACGACATGCCGAATTTCATAAGCATCGACCAACTATATCCAACAGCTGCCATACATATAACTGAAAAATCGGAAATGTCCCAACTACCGTGTTTTTGAAGATGGAAGAAAGTTGTAACTTGGTGCAGATTCTATCTTTGGTCAGTTGATCCGACCTACCAAATTTCGTAACGGCCGACTGTATCTAATGGCTGTCATATAACTGAACGATCAGTAATGGTATTTAGTATTTAGCAAAAATACCAACTTTTGTATATTTGAAGATAGAAGCTTGGAGCTTTTTTTTAGATTTTTTATTGTAATAAATTGGTTATGTTATGATATTCTCATAATAATCGGACAACTATAACTGATTTTGGCGATATATATCCTGTGTTAACTGCAAGGGTATATCAACTTCGGCTCTGTCCGAAGTTAGCTTTCTTTTCTTGTTATCCCTAGTTCCGCTCAAGGACGGCGACGCGAAAACTATTGCGAACAACCTCTACCAGGAACATAACAACTTTAAATTAAGGGGACAGTTCCATTCGGAACGTTCTGACGGCTGGTCACATATAAGCACTTTGCACTTTTTTTCCTAAACTGTCAAAAAAAAAAAAAAAAAGAGAACTTTCCATTTTAAAAGTTGCAACTTTGCAACATCGAAGAAGATTCTGCGTAGAGGGAGGAATTTCAAAATTTCATAAAAGAGGGATTTAATATTATTACAACGGGAGGAAATCCCCTTAAGTCAAAAATGCCCCACTCAGCCAGGGCAATGACCCTGCGCTCTGATGCGGCTAATAATAAAAAAAGAAAAACATCGGATCCAGAAATTTCTCAAAAGTTCAGGAAGAAATGGACATCTTGGAGTCAGAAGAATGCAACGATAATGTTTTACAGCAGACTTTGATCAACGAGCAGGATACAAATGTCATCAACATCAACGACAATGACAACATCATCATATCCAAACCACAGCAAGTACCGCTTAGCTATAAAAGCAATCATAAAGGTCCTTATTTTGTTTATATTGACAAACTCACTAACGGTGACAGTACTAGAGAGAATCGTGAACCTATTAATGCCCTCGAACTAAATGCAACTATTTTTAAGCTTAAACTTAAAGATATAGTCAAAGTCAATAAAATAGGCTACGGGCGTTGTAAGGCAGAGTGCAAGACAGCTAAAGCAGCTAATAATTTATTAAATTCTGATTTAAAAAAAGAGGGCTACGACCCTAAAATTCTTAAGCATTTTATTTTTAAAACTGGTATCATTTTTCAAATTCCAATTAAATTTACTACTGACGATTTAAAAGAATTTATTTCATCCCCAGTGCCTATTCACGAAATTATTAGAGTAAATAGAAAAAATGAAAACAAAGAATTTGTCCCCACGTCCAGGGTTAAGATTATTTTTGAAGGCTCCCAGATTCCAGAAGAAATTGACTTTCTATACAAAGGTCAAAGTGGAACCTTATGTTCCTTTTAGCCAATGTTTTAGGTGCTTCAGATTTGGGCATTTTGCTCAACACTGTAAGCAGTCTGAAGAGAAGTGTCGCAATTGTTCCCTTTCTCATCCAAGAGAAGAGACATGTACGACACTTAAATGTATTAACTGCCACTTCTCCCACACCGCTACCTCACTTGAATGTCCGGCAAGAAAAAGAGCGTTTGCCATACAGAAATGTATGACATCGCAAAACTTATCTAGAGTGGAAGTTAGAATAAGATATCCTGCTCTTTTTGACAAACTAGCTCCATCCACTCCTGAGATTTTTAATACCACCGAATTCCCTCTACTAGAAACCCCTAAAAATT